TTCCATGCAGAAAACCCAATCAAACCTGGGGGGGGGGGGGGGGGTTTTCACAATCCTAAGTTCTATACCTGTAATAAATTTGTTTTCTTTTTGTGTTATACAGGTCACCTTCAGGAAGTGAGGGGAACTGAATCTCAACTAAAAAGATGCTCCTTTGGTTTTTTTAGCTGCCAGAAAAAGGGAGTGGGGGAAAACAAGACATTTCTTAAATGCCTGGATAATCACTCCCGTAACCCAAAGTTGTCGGAGGATAAGAAGGTTATTGGAAAGCATGATGGACGGCTCTTGGAGATGGATGTGTACCTTGGAGAAGTTACATCCAGGGGGTGGGGGGAAGACCAGGGTCAAGGGGGAAATTATTATGTAATTTAGTATCAATTGCATCCAGTTTACGTCAACATGGCCATCAATTTACTTTTCTCTGAGACTTTTGATTTGAATTAGGGTGGATTTGTTGGAGCCCTGACAGGTATACCTCTGGGTGATTTATTGTAAGTGGGGTCAGAGCAGGTAATATTCATAATGAACCCCATTAAAAACTAAGAGATATGGTCACTGGCTAAGGAAAAACAGGATAAATGGAGTAAGATGAAGTTAAAGAGAATGTCAGGCAGACAAAGAAACTAGACTGAGCTGGATACAGAAAGTGAAAATATTCAGCCAAAAGATGGTGAACAGGATGTCATAGAAAGTAATGAGACAGAGTGTACAGAGTCATTAGAAAATGAAATTAGGAGCAGTTCCAGCAGCAGCAGTAGTAATGGTAGTAGTAGTGTTTGTAGCAGTGAGAGTAGAAACCAAAGCAGGAGGCATGGACATAATAGAGATAGAAAGCATCATGAATGAATATGTTAAAGCATTCATCTGTTCAGTTTTAAATGGGAAGAGTGTCAGGGTAGTGATGATTTAATAGTTGAACAGCTGCTGTAATAGTGTAATGATGTAATGCTGATGCAATGGTAGCAATCAGTCAGCAGGGTTATTTGACTGCTACCTCTTTAAAAGGCTGTAATATAAAAGAGGCCAAATGAGGGTGTATCTCTCTCTCCATGTGTCTCTGTGCTGTAAATTACTGATTGTGGTTGTTCAAGGCCTGTATCAAAGTACTTGTATGTATATATGCTTTGTAGGGATAAAACCATTATATGTAAATACAAACCTCTGTGTACTGTATTTGCTCCTGGATTGTCTCACCTAATCATACTGTGCGCACTCTGACAATATAGAATGAATTTTATTATTGATTTATTAATTACTCAAAACTGAACACAAGATATTAGAAGACTCCTACTGATAAGTAAACACAATCTAATCAATCAACTCTATTATGAACAATAATTGATTGGACAGCAGGACTTCCAGTTTGGTGTCATGGTGATACAGTCAAGGAAAGCTGGGTCCAACTTTACGCAATTGATTTCAGCCTCCAGAGATCCCCAAGGGGGTGAAAGTTTCCCCGTAGAGGCAACAATAGAGGTGGGAATCCTGTAGATCACACAAGCAGATGGTGGTTTGCTTGTTCGATCCAGGGAAGCCACCAAACTATCAGGAGAAAGGGCTAGCTACACTTGTGCAGCTTGCTTGAAGCCATCAACAACCGGAGAGAGGAAAGCTGTAAAAGATTGCCAACATTATGCTCTGAAGCCGGGTAAGACTACTTTTTCTCTATCCCTTTGAAGAATACCTCCTGGAATGGATAAATTTCAAAAGAAAGAAAAGCCCCCCAGATGTGACTGGAGGAAGGGGGAAATATATCCCCATTCACCAGAGGGAAAAACAACAACAATCAAATGAGGGACGTGAAAGGGAAATTAAAATAGAAAATCAGAATGAACTTATAAGAAAAAAACTTTATATGGCAAACATTGAGAACTTTTAAGATTTTATTAAAACTTTGGAGAGCAAAGATTATTCGAAATAACTAATCAAAGAACACTAGGCTTTATTTGTGATAAGGACTCCTAAAGAATTAATTGAGGGAGAGTGACACCTTGTGGCAAAGAGGAGAAAACTGTTGAAACATCTTATATGTATACAGAAGATGTGGCTCTTATACCCAGACATAAATAATTGTTGGTGACCTTGGAAAGTTTATCATCTGAATAAGACACAGCTGGCAAATAAAGAGAAAAGGGTGTTTTATTGTTTATTATTTGCTGAGATTTATTGTTTGGACTAGTTAAAGCCAGCGGGCTATTGTGGATTACAAACATCGATTGACTTGGATTTATTAATTATACAAGACAAGCTGGTTAAACAGATCTTGGAGTTTGAATTACAAATATCAGTTGAACTGCAAATTTGATTGAGAGAGCTGGATTAAAAACTTTATTTTGCTTAGGTGGAATCAAATATTGGGTTATTGGAAACTTAAAATTATAAAGCCTATAGATAAAGAAAACTGTATAGTTAAAAGTTGTAAAATTTAAGATTAATTTAAAATTGCTTTTTGATGTTGAATAATTTTGCCTATATTAGACAATGTTAATATATTATAGTTATTAGCTGAAGAACTGAACATTTGCTAGGGGGAAATAAAAATGAGTGCGTCAAATCCTGTGGTGGGATTCAGCCAGTTCTCCCGGTTCACCCAAACCATTAGCTAATAGAGAACGGGCTGAAAATAAAGTGCAAGAGAGGGTTTTTCCCCACTCTCTCCCTTCAGTTAATAGCTCTGGGCAGCCAGCCAAGAACCACTTAGTAGGCTACTTAGTTGCTATAACAGCCGACACACATCTTGAATAAAGTTAATAAACAACAGAAGCTGACAGGATTAGGGCAGGGAAACCCATCAATCACCCATCTAGGGATGGGATTAACCTCTTCCCTTCAGGAAGAAGGACAAGATTACAAACATTTTCATTATAAAGAGTGTTAACTAACACTTCTGTGATCAACTGATACTCCCTAGAGTTCCCCAAGACCTTTTATAGCTGCTGCATTGTTGACTACTTCTTGTTCCTTCCTGGGGTGAAAATACAGGGCAGACAAAGATGCAGTTTGGTCATACAGGCTGTGATTTTAATGCATGTGTGGTCCAGCCATCTGTATTGCTTCTGCTGTGAAGTACCCAATTTAGAACATAGAGAACAGAATAATAGAGTTGGGTTAATGGCTTTTGGCAGTACACCCAGGCTTTCAATTAGCATGAGCAGCTGCTCTTAGTTCCCCTCTTAATTCCCCCAAAAGCTGGTGCTTTTGTTTTGGGGTTTTGACTTTTTTTAAAAAAGTGGAATGGCTGTTTTCTGCACTTTTTTAGTGGTACTTGGCACTGTCCTTTTGGGGTGTACTTCACTCACTCTTTTTGAAAGCCTCTAGTGATGGAGCACCCACAACTTCTGAAGACAAGCTATTCCATTGGTTGATTGGTCTCACCCTTAGGAAATTTCTCCTTAGTCCTAGGTTGTTTCTCTCTTTGGTTAGTTTCCATACATTGTTTCTTGTCATGCCTTTTGATGCTTTGGAAAATAGATGGACACCCTTATTTTTGTAGGAGCCCCTCAAATATTGGAACAGTGCTATTTTATTGTGAGTTGTGAGCACTATTTTATTATGAGTTAATAATAAGTCTTTATTGATTAGCCCTCGGGCCACATCAAAGTGCAAAGTTGTAACAACCATTTGTTACTAAAATTTAATAAAAGCAATTCAAAATGAAATTTTATAAAATACTATTTAAAATGAAACTTGATAAAATACAATTTTAAATGGAATCTAGACAAAATATGATTTAAGATGAAATAGTAATAAAATACAATCCAAAATAAAATTGTAATAATGTATAATAATTTAAGATATAGATAAAATATAATAACATTATATTTCGGAGTCGCCCTTGCAATCTACCCCAATTAATCACACATATGCAGATCTCAACCGAATCATTTTGTTTAAATACTGTGCTACTTTAAATGTTATTTTCAAGTTCTGGCCAGACATAAGGTAAGTTATTTTGATATGGGTATCCCAATGGGTCATTCGTTTGATATATAGACCAAGATACCTGTCTCTCATCCTCTTATACAGGCAACAGTCAAATAGGATGTGAGCCAGGTCCTCTACCTCTGCCGCTCTGCAAATGCAGAGACACTCATTGTACAGTATTGCATGAAATCTCCCGTATCTAACCATTGTGTCAAGCTGTTCAAATCTCACTCTCATGAATATCTCCCTAAGATGTTTTGGGAGTTATGACTTCAAGTAGCTATCTACTTGGAAAGTACATTTGTATTTACTCAACCATTTCAAGTTACCTACCTTACTAAGGATAGCTATATCAGTTTGTGCATCTATATCCTTAATTCTTTGGGCAGCTCTTTTTTTAGATTGTTCTCCTGTTACACAAGAGATGGGAAGACCATAGCTTCTTACAAAATTAGTTAGTTTACTGATCCAGGAGATTTGTGATTATAGTTTTATTTGCTCTAGTAGGCATAATTTGGGTAGTCTATCAGTCTTCATTTCATTAACTTTGCACCAGTAGTTATAAGCTCTAATTTTAGATAATGCCTGAATTGTATAAATTCCCAATTCAGATCTAACTGCTGCAGCAGATGTTCTTGGGTCTACACCCAAAATACATCTCAAATGCTGGAACTGTGTTTGTTCCAGGACTGTGGTTGAGTAAAGACCCCAAATTTCTGCTCCATACAAGAGCATTGTGGTAACCTTAGTCTTATAAACCTTGATTAATGGATAACTATGGTTTGTTAGTTCGAGCAATAAATTCAAATGGGCTTTTGTTCTAAATGTACTCCGTTGATGATGGCAGGCCCAAGATCCAGTCTTGGAAAAAGTTACACCCAAATATACAAAGGAATTAACCTGTTCAATTGGTTCACCATCCAATTGCCACCTATGTCTCTGATGGTTTCTTCCACACACCATTATTTTTGATTTAGATTTACTAATGATTAGAGAGTTATCCTGGCAATAAGAGCTAAATCTTAATAGCCTACGTAATCCTACTTATGTATATGATAATAAAATCATATCATCAGCATAAAGCAAGCTGTTACAGTAAGTATTTAAGATCATCGGCATGTGTACCATGTTATCCTTCATTAACCCTGGCAAGTCATTGATGTATAAATTAAATAATAATGGGGCCAGGATACACCCTTGCCTTATCCCTTTATTTGTGCAAATCCTATTAGTCAGGGCCCCGTAGCCCCATACTACACCCTCAAATAGGTACTTGTGTAAAGGGCTTTAATCAAAGCCAGGAGTCTGGGTTCTATTTTAAGAGATGTCAATTTACTCCATAGTACGTCTCTATTTACCATATCAAATGCTGCTGTGAAGTCTATGAAAGCAGCAAAAGGGTCTTGTCTTATAGGCATATTTGGCAATTAGATGATTCAAGACAAAGCAGTTATCAATAGTAGATCTGCCTTGTCTAAAACCTGCTTGTTCTTCTGTGAGGATGTTGTTTTCCCCTACCCAGATTTCAATTCTGTTCAAAAGGTACCTAGCATATATTTTTGCTACAATGTCAATCAGGCTGATGGGCCTATAATTACTAGGATCCTTTTTATTCCCTTTTTTATATATGGGGACAACTATTGCCATCTTCTACCCATCTGGTATATGGCAGGTGTTATTTATGTGTGTAAAAAGGCCTCCTAATACAGGGCCCCACCAGTTGGGAAACTTCTTAAATAGTTCTGCTGGTAGAAAATCCTCTCCTAGGGCTTTATTGCTCTTTAAACTTTTAATGATGGACTGTATCTCCTTTTCTGAGACTAGTGGCCAAGGGGGGGAAGTTCTAGAGTTTATTAAATCACTGTTTAAAAATAATTTCTTTACCGGTTTGGTGGAGACAAACAAGCACTGATAATAATTCTCCCAATCCTCAGCAGAGATTGGTATGTCAAACGCAAATCTCTGTTCCTTCAGGATACGTTACAGAATGCCAAAATAATACTGAGTTATGACTTCTGGCAGCCAACTCAAGTTCTGACCAGATTGAAATGGCAAAACTTTTTTTCTTTAATGTTAGTTTTTTTATATTCCCTTCTTGTGTGCAACATCTTAGCTTGTATAAAGGCAGTAGGGTTCCTCTGGGCAAGCCTCATGGCTGCCTTCAATTTCTTTTTCAGTCACTGGCAATCCGAATCAAACTAGCAAAGTATACCCACTTGGGCTCTTTTTGTAGCCGGTTTAGTTGTTAGATGTTTCTTCAGTATGTTACAAAGATTGTAGCCTGACATCCAGTAGTAAATGACTGGATTGTTCTAGCCCACTTAATAGCATTCTCTGTTTTAAGGCATTCTAATATTGCCTTAGTATCAACCTTAGTATTAACCTTTTGAGTCACTTCTACCTTTTTAGTAAGCCATGTTATATGGTATTAAATCTGAGCAGCCTCACAATGTCACACTTATAAACTGATGGTCGCTATTGTCGCTAAGGTGTACTGTGACCTCCAAGAAGAGGTCAGCCTTATCTCTAGACACACAAAAGAGATCCAGTACACTACTTGAATTAGTTGAGTGGTGTGTATAAGGGTATATGTAATTCTTATCCTTACCTCCCAAAATTTGGAGATTACCTTTAAAATTAAGGAAACTAGGAGCAAACCAGCGGCATTACTTTTACAATCTCTCCAGAGCCACTGAGGATGGTTTTCAAAGAACTCCCCTGGGATTCCCTTCTTCTGGGCAAGCTCATACAAAGAGGAACCCAGTCTAGCGTTCAGATCTCCTAATAAAACCACTATGGACTGAGGATACAATATTGCTATATCTTCTAGGATGACTTCCAAGGACATCCAATATTCAGAATTATAGTGCTGGGTTGTGCTTGGGGGAATATACACATTTACCAATATTAACTCAAACTGGTGATATTCAAATCTGACAGCTAGAAAGTTCAGATACTTATCTTCGTTATATAATTTCTCTCCCTGCCATTGCAAATCTTGCTTTATAAGAATGCATAGACCACCAGAGGGTCTCCCTTTGTTCTTTGTTTTTTGGGCTGGGGAAGCCCATCCCTGAAAGTCTGGCAGTTGTACTGGTTCATCCACTTCGGTTCGCCAAGTTTCTTGAAGGGCTATTATGTCCATCCATCCTGGATGGTTTTTTTTAAATTTTCTCCGAAATCTGTAATAACGCATCTCTAATTTGGTGGTTTTGGAAGTGTGAATATGATTCCACCCCCCCACAGGATGGTATGCCACCCTATTTGTAGATCATGCCCTTCCAGCGTTAGTATTCTCTTATTGTTCAAGGATATCCATTCTTTAATCCATGCTAGTGCTGCTGCATAATAGTATGATTCTCAGTCAGGTAGTCCGAAGCCACCTCTATTTCTATTATCCTGCAATAGTTTTAGCCTTATTCTGGGTTTTTTCCCAGCCCATATGAATTTAGTTGTTACCTTACTCAATTCCCCCAAAAAGTTTGTATATAGGAATCATCTGGAATAAATACAACCATCTTGGTAACAGATTCATTTTTATTGCAGTGATTTTTCCTATTAATGATAGGTGTAATTTTCCCTACATTTCCAGATTTTTCTTTGTCTGATTCATTAATTTGTTGTAATTATCTACTTTGTTGTAATTTGTTGTAATTATCTTTGTATGTTACAAATTCACTGTCAGTCAAATTCCTAAATATTTAATTTTATTTGTAGTTTGCAGTTCTGTTTCCCTTTCTAACTCTCTTTTCTGGCAGTCTGTAAGGTTCTTGTTAGGAATATGAGTCACCTAACAGCTATTTGGGTTAGAAATATATAAACCAGGATAAACATTTTAGTACTATATCTTTAAGGGAATGCAAGGGCATGCAATTGGGTGTGGTTTCTCAAACAGCCATAAGATGGAGCCAGAAACCTGGTTGTTTAGTCTTAGTCTCAGAAGAGAGTATGTCTGAGTGAGTATCTCTCTTTCCTTCTGTTAAGAAAGTATTGCTGTTACTCCATTTCTTCTAATTGACTGATATTACTGGATTTAATGTAAGTCTGATACTGAACTGTTTTTGACACTGGACTTTGATATTTGGATTATCCCTGGATTGAAAAACTGACTGATTTACCTGTGAATGATTTTGGATTGCTTATTTTGGACTTTGCTTAAACCTTTCTGGAAGTAAAAACCTACATTTACTGTACAGTGTATCTGTGTACTGTGCGTGTATTATTCAAACACTTCTACTCAAATACGTCTCCCTGTATGCTTTCATTCTCCTAACGGGGAATTACCTCAACACTGGTTATGGGCCCAGACCATACCAGGCTCACTGAGAGTTAGTGTGAATACACAGTACTGTATACAGACAGCTGTTTACTGTTTAATTGTGGGTTACTATCCTGATAAAGATGGCACAAGTCACTTCAACAAGTCTATCACTGATAACCCGGTTGGATGGAACAAACTATGTTTCCTGGTCTATGAAGTGCAGTTTACTTCTGAGTAAAGAAGGTTTATGGAATGTAGTTCAAGACCCACCGGATGTAAATGCTTGGGATTCAGAAAATCAAGAAGATTGCTGACTTTAAACAGAACAACGAATGAGCTCTTTGTATAATTGGACTAACACTGAGTGACCAGCAGCTAGTCCATATTCCTGGAGAAGAGTCTGCTGCTAGGTATTGGGAGAATTTGAAGAAGATTTATGTTCGTGACAGGGTAGGTGCACACATATATCTTACACATAAACTGTTTAAAGCACGTCTTCTAAAAGGTGGAGATATGTTAGCTCATTTAAACTTCAAGAGCTACATGAAAAAGAACTGATATTTTCAGAGCTGCATCAAGTTAACATCATTCTTTCCTCATTGGATGAAAGTTATGATGACAATGTATTTTCACTGGAAGTACTGCCCAGAGATAAAATGACATTGACTGACATAACTGGAAGATTGTTAGGGGAAGCAAGAAGACGGCTGGATAGGGACCAACTGAGGAAGGAACAACCACAAAAAGAGGATTTGTCTTCAACTGCCTATACTGTTAGGAAATATTTTTCTTGTGGGGCTAGGGGACATATAGCTAAATTCTGTAAGAAGGGAAAACAACAGAGTACTGGCAAACACCAGAAGGCTGAGAAGAATGTTAGTTTAGCTATGTCTAGCAATTCAACTGTAAACCATGATTTGTGGGTTGTTGATAGTGGAGCATCGCAGTGCATTACTAAAGATAGAAACAGGTTTGTAAAGATGTCCACGAGTTCACAACATGTATCATTGGCAAATGGATGGAAGATTAAGGCTTCTGGTCAAGGTACTGCATATTGTTCTTGGATAAATGAGCATTTAACTATGTTATATGTATCTAAACTGAAATTTAATTTGTTATCAGTAAGGGCTTTAGTTAGTCTTGGTTATGTAGTAACCTTTAGAGGAGATAACTGTATAATAGAGAAAGAGGGTAAAAGTGTTACTGCTACATTAAAGAATGATTTATATGTAATACATAATGACCAGTTGAAGATGGCTAACTCAGTTTATAACAATGTTAAGCCACATGATGAATGTATACATTTACTGCATAGACGTCTGGGGCACATTAATTTCAAAATGCTCAAACAAACTGTTGAATTGTCAGAGGGAGTAAAATTGAAACCCTGTAGCAAGTATTTAAACTGTAATGCTTGTAGCCAAGAGAAGAGTAAGGTTACTCCTGCAAAGAGACTAAATGGGTTTAAGACCAAAGAACCTTTAGAGGTTGTGTTTGCTGATATAATTGGTCCTAAAAAACCAAGTCTGGGAGGTGCCTGTTACATTTTGAGTATTATGGACCATTACGATACGGTTTCTGCTATCTTATGAAAAACAAAACAGACACATTCCAACATTTCTTTAACTGGTTAAGGTTTGCTGAGAGAAAAATGAAAAGTAAGTTACTGATAATGGGACTGAGTTTGTTAACAAAAGATTCCAAACTATGTTGAAATTGGCTGGTGTTGAGCATAAACATTCTGCACCTTACAGACCACAACATAACTCATTAATAGAACGAAGAGGGCAAACATTACAAGTCATGCTCGTACTATGTTATCTGATTCAGGTTTGCCTGAAACACTGTAGGGTGAGGCCATAATGTGAAGTAATCATGTGTTAAACAACGTAGTTAACACAACAACTGGTGAATTGCCACTCACTCTTTGGCATGGCAGAAAACCAAATTTAAGTTACCTACACACATTTGGAGCTCCAGCATGGGTGCATATTCCCTCACAAGTAAGACTGAAAGGGCAACATAGAGCTAAAAAGTTATTTTTTGTGGGTTATGAAGCCAACCATAGATCATTTAGATTTTGGGATCAAGGCACAGCTCATGTTTCTTGTAGTGCTAGTGCAAAATTTCTCGAGCACATTGGGTGGGATAAACTGGAACAGGAATCCAGCAATGATATTATTATTGACACCCAAATAGTCCCTAAAGATAAAATCAGTAAACCCCAAATAGCCATTAAAGAGGAAGAACAGGAGGAAGTAGGAGAACAGGCACAGGAAGAAATAGAAGAACAGGAGCAGGTGGCACAGGAAAGTCCACCAGTAAGCCCTGTATTACCAAGACATTCAACCCGAGTAACACAACCACCTGATAGATATCAGGCTAGTGTTGTATGCCAAGTGAATACAGTTCCAAGTAATTATAGTGAATTAGAAATG